CTCGCTTGCGCGCCCGCTCGCGCTCGCCAGTGCGGCCACTCGTGCACCAGTTTTGGGTCAACCCGCCGGGTCAGGTCCGGGTTCGGATTTTCGACCCGTTTCTCTACCCTGGTCGGGTTAGGGTCGACCCGTTTTCCACCCGGGTCAGCTCGGGTTCAACCCGAACCCGACCCGTTGACCCGAATTGACACCCCTACCTGCAACATTATAACCCCTACAACTAAAGGCCAATAGTCCCATGACAACAATCATACAAAACTTCCTTCACACAAATAGAAATTAATATTTTTTCCCCAAAAAAAAAAAAATTAATAATTTTAATTTTACATTATTACCTTTCATAATCATATGATGGAAAACAACATGAAGAGGGCCTCATATTAATCATTTCATTTCAATAATATAATGATGTCATTTTTTTAAAATAATTTTTATTTAAACTAAGTTCATAACTTCCAAAAAATAATGACAAATGATCTATCAAAATTCAAAATTTATAATTAATTTCATAAAATGAGACAAAATAATAATTTTAATAAAATAATAACACTTCATAATTTATCTCTTTCAAATTTTCTTTAACAAAATAATTATAATATATATATATATATTATTAATTTTTCTTTGAAAAAAAATGTATTAATTTATCTGATGAAAGATAATATTATTTATGCAATATTTTAGATAATATAACATTTATGTTATAAATATATGGCCCTACTAATTTACTGATATGCCAGCCTTTGGAATATGTTGATTAGTCTATATATATATAATGGCCTACCATTCCCATGAGGGCCACATGTGACACATCTGTCCTTGTCCTCTTTCTAAGCATTCATCTCCTTTTATTAATGTACTGAAAGTTTGTATTATATTGATGAAGGCTATAATTCTAACTCATGTTGATTTGATTTTTTTGTCCAATCAATTCAAAATTTTTTTGTCTAAGCTTCGATTGGGACAACTATCTTACTGATTTTTAAAGCAATTTTTTAAAATTTTAATTTTTGTACTTAAAAATTACTTTAAGAAGCAGTAAAAAATCGTCTCAAACAATCTAAGTCGAAACATTAACCACTTAATATTTCTGCACAATCATACTTCACAAATATATACTATGAGACTTAGATAATAGTATTGCATGATTTGCATGTGTTAGTCTTGCTTGTTAGCTCTGATCTGAAGTAAACAGTCGGTTTTATATTCATTCTTCTACATTGAATTCTTAATTCAAAGTAGATACGCATATTCATATATGAAGATGTATAAGCATAAACATAAAAAATGTGTTGAGATTGAATTGAGTTTTTCATCAAAGAAGAGTACACATGCCTTTGACTCGTGATGCTATGTTAAAGGTTTGGGATAATGAAGGAAATGTGTTGAAGAAAAATAGTCGCTAAAAATATCATATAATATGAAAATAAAAAGGTAATATGAGCTTTTCTCCTACTCACTTTCTCCATTCATAACT